CCCAGGACGGCCCAAGATGGCCCCAAGAGGGCAAAAAAACACCCCCAAGACGCCCCAAGAGGGCCCCAAGAGGACCCCCAGGAGTGCCTCCAGCGGCCAGAATCATCGATTTCCCATAGGGTTTTGAAAATTGCGTGTTCTCGCTTATCTCGATTCTCACAGGCCCAGGGCGACCCAAGCAAACAGCCTCCAAAAACGCCCCAGAACTGCACAAGAAGTCCCCAAGAGGGCCCCAATACAGCCCAAGAGGACTCCAAGACGGCCCAAAGAGGCCCCCAAGACGGTCGAAGAGGCCCCCAAGACAGCTCAAGAAGTCCACGTCCGGAGGTGACGTGCTGAGCGGCAGCGTTTTCCGGCGAACGCCTTCATGCAATGTATCCAATGTATCCAAATATTGCATAGTTGCAACATACTGTATTGTGTTACATGTTTATGTCTCCCCCTTAACCCCCCCAGGGGCTACGCCACTTCCGTCGATCCAAAATGGCCACCCCCTCCCGGGGCTCAATGATTTTCACCTCTTGGGCCTCTTGGGGGGCCACGACGGCGCCAAGACGGCTCAAGATGGACCCAAGAGGGCCCAAAAAGCTCCAATGACGGCCCAAGAGGGCCCCAAGAGCGCCCACAACTGCGCCTACAGATGCCGAAATCATTGATTGTCCGATGGTTCTGGCGATATTTCAGCAATCTCGCCTTTGCGGCCCAAACAGCTTCCAGCATCGCCCCAGAACAACCCAAAAAGTCCCCAAGAGGGCCCCAAGACGGCCCAAGAGGGCCCCAATACGGCCCAAAGAAGCCCCAAAGACGGTCCAGGAGGCCCCTAAGACGGCCCAAGAGGACCCCAAGAGGGCCCCAAGGCGGCCGCGAGAGGCCCCCGAGACGGCCTCCGGGGCGAAACGGCAGAAGGACGCCCCATGACGGCCCAGGACGCCCCCAAGAGGCCCCAAAAGGCCCCCAAGACGCCCCCAAGGGGCCCCAAGAAGACCCCAAAAGGCCTCCAAGAAGTCTCCAAAAAGCCACCAGAAGACCCCATAGAAGCGCCCGAAAGCCCACACAGCGACTGGAGTGTACTGTCATTTTCCCCCCCTGGGCGAAGTGCGGCGCAGCGCCAGCCAGGTGGAAGTTGGTCACGGCGGCGCCCATGATCAGTACTGGTGCTGGAAGGGAATATGGGGAGGGAGTACGAAAAGGAAGGAGGGGGGAGAGGCCCCAAAGACGTCCCCAAGACGACCCAAGACGCCCCCACGAAACTCCCGAGAACCCCCAAAACGACTTCACTGCACGTACTCCGGGCGTGCACCCCGCGAAGCCAGAGGAATCCACGTCCGGAAGTGACGTGTTGCCGGAGGCAGGTCCGCGGATGCTGTAACGCGACGCATCCAATGTACCGAATCATTGCATAATTGCTACATATTGTGTTGTTTCCCCAGAGGCCCCAGGAAGCCCCCACCCAAGACACCTCCAAGATGCCACAAAGAAGCTCCCAAGAGGCCCCGCAACAACTGGACTGTACGTGGTCCGGACGTGCACCCCCGCGAAACGAGAGGAATCCACGTCCGGAAGTGACGCGTTGCCGGAAGCAGGTCCGCGGATGCTGTAATGCAACGCATCCAATGTACCGAATCATTGCATAATTGCTACACGTTGTATTGTTTTGCAATATTATGTCTCCCCCCCTAGCCCCCCCCGGGGAGTCGCGCCACAGCGCCGTACCAAAGTGGCCGCCCCCCGCTTGGGGCCCCAAAACGTACCAAAACGCATGGGAAATCCATGATTTGGGCCTGTTGGCCCAAATCCATGATTTGGGCCTGTTGGCCCTCTTGGGGGTCCAACAAGGCCTCAGGAGGGATCCAGATGCCCCCAAGACTGCCCAAGACGGCCCCAGGACGGCCCAAGATGGCCCCAAGAGGGCCAAAAAAACACCCCCAAGACGCCCCAAGAGGGCCCCAAGAGGACCCCCAGGAGTGCCTCCAGCGGCCAAAATCATCGATTTCCCATAGGGTTTTGAAAATTGTGTGTTCTCGCTTATCTCGATTCTCACAGGCCCAGGGCGACCCAAGCAAACAGCCTCCAAAAACGCCCCAGAACTGCACAAAAAGTCCCCAAGAGGGCCCCAATACAGCCCAAGAGGACTCCAAGACGGCCCAAAGAGGCCCCCAAGACGGTCGAAGAGGCCCCCAAGACAGCTCAAGAAGTCCACGTCCGGAGGTGACGTGCTGATCGGCAGCGTTTTCCGGCGAACGCCTTCATGCAATGTATCCAATGTATCCAAATATTACATAATTGCAACGTATCGTATTGTGTCACATTATCATGCATCCCCCCTAACTCCCCCAGGGGCTACGCCACGTCCGTCGATCCAAAATGGCCACCCCCTCCCGGGGCTACCAAAACCAATAGAAAATGCATGATTTTCACCTCTGGGGCCTCTTGGGGGGTCACGAGGGCGCCAAGACGGCTCAAGATGGACCCAAGAGGGCCCAAAAAGCTCCAATGACGGCCCAAGAGGGCCCCAAGAGCGCCCACAACTGCGCCTACAGATGCCGAAATCATTGATTGTCCGATGGTTCTGGCGATATTTCAACAATCTCGCCTTTGCGGCCCAAGCAGCTTCCAACATCGCCCCAGAACAACCCAAAAAGTCCCCAAGAGGGCCCCAAGACGGCCCAAGAGGGCCCCAAGACAACCCAAAGAGGCCCAAGATGGCCCAGGACGCCCCCAAAAGGCCCCCAAGACGCCACCACGGGGCCCCAAGAAGACCCCAAAAGGCCTCCAAGAAGTTCCCAAGAAGCCCCCAGAAGGCCCCATAGAAGCCCCCCAAAGCCCGCACAGCGACTGGAGTGTACTGTCATGTTTCCCCCCTGGGAGAAGTGCGGCGCAGCGCCAGCCAGGTGGAAGTTGGTCACGGCGGCGCCCATGATTAGTGCTGGTGCTGGAAGGGGATATGAGGAGGGAGTATGAAAAGGAGTGAAGGGGGAGAGGCCCCAAAGATGTCCCCAACACGGCCCAAGACGCCCCCACGAAACTCCCGAGAACCCCCAAAACGACTTCACTGTACGTACTCCGGACGTGCACCCCGCGAAGCGAGAAGAATCATTGATTTTCCAAAAAGGTGTTCGAAGGATTTGGGCGTTCTCGCATGTTCGGCTTTCCGACGCTCCGAGACGGCTCAAAGAGGCCCGACAGACCACCCCGAGACGGCCCGAGAGGCCTCCAAGAGGGCCTCAAGATGGCCTAAGAGCGCCCAAAGACGGCCCAAGAAGCTCCCAAAACGGTCCAAGAGTGCCCCAAGACGGCCCCAACAGGGGCCCAAAAGAGGGAACGCGAACCAAAACTCTAAGCCTTCCGCCCCAAGAAGCTCCCCAGAGGCCCCAAGAGGCACCCACGAGGCCCCATCGAAGTCCCCAAGAGGCCCTAAGAAGCTCCCAAGAGACCCAAAACGGGCTCCAAGAGGCCCCAAAACGGCTTCGAGAGGTCCCAAAACTGCCTCTGAGAGGCCTCCAACGAGATCCCAACGAACGTCCAATTTGCCTCCCACACACGCACACCCTGGAGCGCGGGCTGCGGCGGCGCTGGGTCCTGGTTGCCCCTCTCCACCCTTCTCCGCCCCTTGTAGTCCTCCTCCTCCTCCTCCTCCTCCTCCTCCTCCTCCTTCTCCCCCTTGTCATCGTCGTCGATACCCTCGTCGTCGTCGTTCACGCCGGAAGAAGCCTGAGACCAGAAGGTCTCACATAGTCGGATGAACAGGGAGATGGGGCATCTTCTTTGGGGGGAGAAGAAGACGCTCTTGCGTAGCTAAGCGACTGCCGAATGTGCAGCTGGAGGCCTGCGTCGTGCTCGCAGCATATGACAACTGTCGGCTCATTGAGCCCGCGCCGCTGCGGAACAACGCAGTCCTCTCACCACCAATGACGACTACTCCAGGGAGTCGGCCATCGCGGCGGCGTCGAGCCCAAACGCACTGGAGAATCCGGCCGGAAGAGAATCTGGCCAGAAGAGATAACTACCGTGCCATCGACATCAGATGCAAGCCTACACAGAAAATGAGCTCTGAACGGCACAGCATGAGGGAGGCAATCCCAGAGTGGCGGTGCAGAGCGCCGTGTAAAGTTCAGCAGGTGTGTAAATGCAACGGCTGGGCCAGGAAAGCTCTTCGTGGCGGCGGCGGCCGGCCAGCTTCTTCGTTGGCGCCAGCGTCTCTCTGCCCTACTCCCGATGGGATGTCGTCGACGGAATCCTCCTCCTCCTCCTCCTCCTCCTCCTCCTCCTCCTCCTCCTCCTCCTCCTCCTCCTCCTCCTCCTCCTCCTCCTCCTCTATCCCAAGCAAGGCGGCCCGAGGGCCTGCGCAGTCGCCGCGCGCGCCCAAGGCGCGGGCGAACCGGTACCTTACTTGCCATCGCTCCGACGTCCACTTCCCGAGTATTGCTGGATATCGTGCCTTCAAATTTCGGACATGATCCAAGATGCTCCTCAATGGTGCTCGCTGAGGAAGACATGCACACGTCCGAGCGATGCCACGCTTACGGCGGCGAGCACATCTGGGCTCCCAACTCACGATGAAGACGGCTCGCTGCAGACCTTTGCCACGGAGCTAAATGCTCCGCGTTCGAAGCGAATGCCTCGTGGTTGAAATATGCAGCACGCAGCTGGGTGCTCCTAATTGAGGTGCCTGCTGCGTGGTGCAACGTGCAGCTCCTGTGACTGCAGATGATGGAACGTGCAGGCTGACCTACAGCCAAGAAACCTTGCCTTTCTCTGTCAAAAAATGGACTTACCGAGAGCCAGCGCAGACTAACCAACCCACACCATCATGTAGATCCTCCTCATATAGAAGAAGGAAACAAAAACAGAAACATACCCTTTTGGCGCTGCGAGCGGAATTCTTGAATCTGTGCTGGATCCTCCTCCCTGGCGCGCGGAGCGCGCCAGGGGCGGCGCAGGAGGCGCCGGCCGGGGGGAGCCCAGCGCGGATCCAAAAAATCCGCGCGGAGCGCCAAAAGTTAAAGTTCGTGTTTATGGCGTTTGCTTATTATTATTATTATTATTATTCTTCGAATCATGTAGATCCTCCTCATGATCCTCCCCATCGTGGAAGGAGGAGAAGGAAGAAGAGGAAGAGGAGGAGGAGGAGGAGGAGGTCCCCCGTGTCCTCTGCAAAATGTGAAAACACTTGGCAGACAGCGGCTTCGCGACGCATCGATCGACAAAGACAAAAGACAAAGACACTCTCGCGCGTGGGCACCGTCGAGGGTGCTGCGGGTGTGGCGCTGGAGCGCCGTCAGCGTGAAGCATCGATCGGCGGCGCGCAAAAGGAGGGGAGCGCTCCCTGATGCCGCCGGGAGGGCCGGCGAGGAGCAGCAGCAGGAGCGGAGGGGGATGATGATGATGATGATGATGATGAGGAGGAGGAGGAGGAGGAGGAGGAGGAGGAGGAGGAGGAGGAGGAGGAGGAGGAGGAGGAGGAGGAGGAGGAGGAGGAGGAGGAGGGAGGAGGAGGAGGAGGAGGAGGAGGAGGAGGAGGAGGAGGAGGAGGAGGAGGAGGAGGAGGAGGAGGAGGAGGAGGAGGAGGGAGGAGGGGGAGGAGGAGGGAGGAGGGGGAGGAGGAGGGGAAGGAGGAGGAGGGGGAGAAGGAGGAGGAGGAGGACCCAGGAGAATGAACAGCAGGAGCGCGAGGAAGACGAGCACGAGGACCATCCGCGCGGAGGCGGCGACTCGCGCGCGACAGCGCGTGGCGGCAACGATGCCAGCCACGCGCGCAGGCCCCCACACGGAGCAGCGCGCGGGCCGCCGAAGGAAAAACACCAGTTGGCGGGTTCCCAGGCAATCCGGGGGCTCCCAGCAGCCGAGCAGATCACCAGGGCGAACTCGCTGATCTGCGAGAGGTTGATCGTGGCCACCCCCGCGAGGCTGCCCCGGCCCCCCAGCAGGCGAACCACTGAGAAGATGCCGATCCACCAGCAGACCAGCACCACCGCGGCGATCAAGACGCCAGTGGCCACTGCGGCAACCGTGGGGGGCGGGATCTGCATGCGGAGGCCGACGAAGAAGAGGGTGATGGAGGAGTCCCTGATGTACTTGATCTCGCCGTTGAACTCAGCGCTGTACGGGAAGGCGGCCAGGGCAACGCTTGCGATGAGGGACGCCAGCTCAAAGCTCCGGCCGACGAACGGGAGGGTGGCCACGCAGCCCACAAAGAAGCACCAGGCAAGGAAAAGAACAAGCATGAGCTCAACGTTCTTAGACGAAGAATACAGAACTGCGAGCATCACGAACTTCGCGTAGACTATCGCCACGACGAGCAATACGGCGATCATGCCGAAGGTCTTCAGGATAATCACGATATCGGGCGAGTCCAGACTGGGCTGCACGGCAAGGATGATAATGGCCCATATGTCCTTGAAGATAAATATGCCGATGGTCAGCCTGCCGGGAGCGCTGCCCGTGTCGCACTTGACGGACAGCCCCTTCACCACGATCATCGTGGACAAGATGCCGCACACTATCCCGGTGTACACCGTCGCCATGGGACCCTCCCCGAACGAGATCCCAGCGGCCGCGAGGCCCATGAAGATACAAATGTGGAGACAAACGCAGATGGGGAACTGGAGGGCACCAGTGATCAGCACCACCTTCTCAAGATCGGACAGACTCGGATCGGGCCTCATCGGATCGGCCGCATCAGATCGGGCCGTTTCGGCACAGAGTCGAAATCGAATTGGATCTACGGCTGCACCAGGATGCACAACAGCGCTATGTCAGAATCGGGCCGCATCGGATCGCCTGTACACTGAAATCGAGCTGGATCAAACTGGCCGAAATCGATATCGAATCGAATAGATCGGATTCGAATGGGTATCACCTTCCCCATCTTCAGCAGCTCATTCAAGTTCAGCTCCAGGCCCACCATGAAGAGGAGGAAGATGAGGCCCAAGGAGCTCAGGGTGGAGATGTCCTCGTGGCTGCGTATGACGCTCAGGACGTGGGGGTCGACCGCCACGCCTCCCAGCAGGTAGCCCAGGATGAGCGGCTGCTTGACGAAGCTCATGGCCATTGCGAGCATCCCCGCGCAGAGCAAGGCGTAGGCGATGTACGTCATCAGCGGAGGGGCGTCGCCTCCCAGGCGGCGGCGGTGGTCGTCCGCGGAGTCGCTCTCGCCGAGGTGCGTGGACCTGGCCACGAGGGCGAAAAGCACGAACGCGAGCGCGTTGAGGTGGATGGCAGCCTGCACCGGCCTCGTCTTGCTCAGGGCGCTGCCGCTCATGACCACGCGGCTGAGCCCCTCTCTGACCTTCGTCACTCTCTGGTAGTCGGCCCTTGTGATCTGCTCCATCTCGGCGAGCGACACAGAGGCGACCCCGGGCCTCAGGCTGGTGACCCTGGTCATGGCCGTGCCCGTTTTGGCGACAGACTGCCCGACGAAGCCCTAACCTTCTGTGAGGCGGTGGGGCTACAGCGGCGACGGCCCGCCTTCGCCGTCGCTGTACTCGGAGTCGTACGACTCCAGACTCTCCCTGTCGAACACCCCCTCCGAGCGCCCGCCTCCTGCAGCTGGGTCGTGAGCCGATCGCTCATCTTGGAGAGCCTGTCCACTTCGCGCCGCAGCCGCTCGACCTCGCCCGTGCCCTCGGCGTCCTCGGAGATACGCCGCGGCGAGCTCTACCGGCTGTCCAGCTGCAAGCTCTTCCCGCTCTTCGTCGACAAGGGGTCTTTCTTCGCATCGGGACTCAAAACTGGGGCGTCCACCACGGTGACCTTGACCTCGGGAGCCTCCGACATCGGCAGCCTGTCACCTGGCGACTCGGTATTCACTTGCCACCTCGTACAGAGGAGCCCTGTCGACTGACACTGTGAGCTCGACTGCGGCTTGAGAGTGAGCCAAAATAGCTACGGAGCCTCCTCCTCCTCCTCGTCCTCCTCCTCCTCCTCCGCGCGGGGGGTGAGCAGGAGGGGGAGGAGGATGACAAGGAGGAGGATGGCGAGGAGGAAGGCGAGGGAGACAAGCAGTCTTCCTTCCTGAGGTCATAGTCGGCCGGCCCCGGTGTCAAGCCTGGTGAGCGGCAACCCTGCGGAAGATGTCTCGCGGCGCGCCTGCCGCCTGCCGCCTGGGAGGCCACACGATGGGCGGCACCAGGAGGACACGAACAGACCCCGGGCATGCGCCTGGGTTCAACGTGTGTGCCTTCGGTACACCCTGCGAAATGCTTAAGAAATCATGGGTTAAGAAATTCATAGTCTCAGAAATTCCATAAAAACGCAGAACTTCTATCAAAATATTGGGATTTGCGTTGAAGAGTTAAGAATAATCGAGACTCTGGACGAAATTTTAGGTTTTCTTAAGCATCGCCTAAGGTGTATTACTCGGCGTCGATGAACGTGTTCTTGACCACCACGCGTAAATGCATCTCTGCCAAAGGCAATGGTCTGAGCCCTTCTTGGGCCAAAATGGCTGCGGCGTCCTGGGGGGCCTGCTGGTAATCTCCGTGGCCCCCTCGAGGCCGAAAGCTCGAATTGTGAGTTCGAATCATCCTTGTTGGGCCGTCTTGGGCGCCTCGTGGGCTGTCTTTAACCTCTCTCGGGCAGTTTTGATGCCTTAAAGGGGGCCCATTTGGCAGTCGTGAGACAATACTCGAGGAGTAGTTGGGCCGTCTTCGAGCTGTGAAGACCAAAATGGCGAATGTGCTAAACATATACGCTTTCTGGGACGATTCGGGCGTCTAGGGGCCCTCTTCGGGGGGCTCTTGAAGCTCTCTTGGGCCTTCTGGGGTGCCAACAGGCCGCCTTGAAGTCATCTTGAGCGGTCTTGGAGTGCTCTTGGGGCGCTCTCGGGTCGTCTTGGAGGCCTCTTGGGCTGTCTGGAAGCCATCATAGGGTGTTCTTGGAGCGCTCTCACAGCCGAAAACGAGTCCTGGGCCCCAGGGGCCAAATTCGATTACCCAGGGGGTGGACCCATCTGTCATTCTGTCCCGCGGGGGGGCGGGGGGGCAGCAATCCGATACTGCATGTATGTGTGTATATATATAGGTGTACTATATGGAAGTATGTGTGCATATAGTCATACATACGTATATACGTACGTACATACGTACGCACGTACATATATGCATGCATGCATTCACATAGGTGTACACACATGCGTGTATATATATATATGTACAACCGTACACGTAAATGCATACATATATGTTCTTTATGTATGTACACGCATGCATATACATACACACGTATACGTATGCACACATAAATATACAAGTGTGTGTACCTGCATACGTAAATGCAAGCATACACACGTGTCGTCACGCATTCATTCATACATCAAGCCATACATACACACATAAATGCGCATGCATGTCTGCCTACATCTCAAAATTCGCACACATAGAAGTTTTGCATTCAGATGCGTGGGCATGTGTATCAACATGTGTTCGTATGTATGTATAGACAACTCACCAACGTGCATATGCGTTTTATACACCGACTCACATGCATAAATATCTGTATACAGGAGTAGAAGTATCCGCCTGTTTGTTTTCATCACTTTCTCTCTCTCTCTCTCTCTCTCGGCGGCGGCCGCCTTTGCGAGTGCGAGCGAGACTTCGCGCACGCCCTGCTGCTCAAGTTCCTTGCGCCTCGGGGGCAAAGAAGAAGGGGGGCATAGAAAGAGGGGAACAAAAAAACGAAAGCAGAGAGGGAGGGACAGAAGGAGGAAAAGGCAAGCAGGGAAGAGAGGGGACAGGGAAGAGGGGGGAGGGGGAGAGAAAGAGAGGAGAAGAAGAAAGGGGAGGGGGCGTCCACGGGGCCGCCAAAGCAGCACTGATTCGAAAGCGAATTGTCTATTGGCTTCGGGCTTGGCATTCCACGTACAACGCGGGGCGCAATGCAGAAAACAACGTGACGACAACGCTACTCACACTCGCGTGGGCGCCACCCTTTGGAAGGCAGGCAAAGCAACGACGTCGTCCCAAGTCGATGCGATATCAATTGATGGGGATGAGGCGTGAATTACCACAACGCCGGCGAAAACGTCTGCAGGCCCACCGAAGCCGCCGATAGCACCTCCGAAACCGCCTGAACACCTGCGACAAGACCGCCTGGCGCCAGAAGAGAGCGCGAGAACGCTATGGAGCGCCGGACAAAGTCGGAAACCAGGCGAGAGTTTCGTAAGACCTGCCGTGACCGCTGGAGGCACACGCGAAAGTCTGCAAGCACGCGATATGCGCGCGTCCTCCAACGTATTGTTCCTCCTCTTCCTCTCTTCCTCCTCTTCCTTTTCCTCCTCCTCCTCTCCCTCCTGCTCCTCTTACTTGTGTTCCTCCTCCTCCTCCTCCTCCTCCTCCTCCTCCTCCTCTTTCTCCTCCTCATGTTCCTCCTGATCATCCTCTGTCTCTCGTTCCTACTCCTCCTCCCCCTCCTATTCCTCCTCCTCTTCCTCATCCTCATCCTCATCCTCCCCCCATCGACGCCAGCATCATCATCATCATCATCATCATCATCAGCAGCATCATCATCATCATCATCATCGTCGTCGTCGTCATCATCATCATCATCATCATCATCATCATCATCATCATCATCATCATCATCATCATCATCATCGTCATCATCATCATCAGCATCATCATCATCATCAGCATCATCATCATCATCGTCATCATCATAAACATCATCAGCAGCATCATCATCAGCAGCAGCATCATCGTCATCATCAGCAGCATCATCATCACCATCATCGATCATCATCATCAGCAGCAGCAGCATCATCATTATCATCAGCAGCATCAGCATCAGCATCAGCATCAGCATCATCGTCAGCATCGTCAGCGTCATCATCAACATCAACATCACAATCACCAACACCATCACCATCATCACCATCAGCATCGCCATCCGCGCCATCACAATCACCATCACCATCGCCATTACCACCATCGTCGCTGCAACCCTCCTCCGAATCATCGCAATCACCATCATCAGCAGAACCAGCACCGCCACCCGCATCGTCAGCAGAACCAGGAGCGCGGAGCAACGGCGGCGAGGAGGAGGAGGAGGAGGAGGAGGAGGAGGAGGAGGAGGAGGGTGGAGGAGGAGGAGGAGGAGGAGGGTGGAGGAGGAGGAGAAGGAGGAGGAAGAGGTAAAATGCAAAGGCCCTTGGAGGTCTAGAAGCTCGAACTGCAGCTTGAATGACCTCTGCGGGAAGGATATGGACGCAGCGGCCGCGCAGTTGCACACGGGCTGCCTGCAGGGGGCACATGTCTGAGCGGGAAGGCCGCCGCGTCGGCGGGGGGGGTCGCCATCGCTGGGTCCAGCTGGGCGAAAGGGGGGATGGGGAAACAGGGCGAACGTGCTCCCCCATCCCGGGCGCGCTCGCTGCGGCTACGGGCGCCTCGCACTTCGCCGAGGCGCCCCGTCCCCACTCCCTTCCGCTGGAGGCGAGAAACGAGGAGAGGAAGGATGACCTGGGGGAGGGAGGAGGGAGGGGCACAGAGAAACCCGAACATGCCACACACAACTGCATACCTGCGCTAGAAACCGTGCAGCGTGCGACTCAGACCTTGAGTCGGCATGCCCTGCAGTGACGATGTAATCGCTGCCATCCAATGGACGCCTGGGTGGTTCAGGAGTCGTGCTGGGATACTTGAACTCTGGGAGGGTCAAGCTTGCTGTATGGCATATCAGTACGTTATGTTGGTTTCCTGGTTGTCCGTTTCAAGACTTGGCGGGGCTCGAACACACAAACATGCCATGTACAACTTCATGCCTGCTCCAAAACCCGTGCAACATGCGACTCAGAACTTGAGTCGGTATGCCCTGCAGTGACGGTGCAATCGCTGCCATCCAATGGTCGCCTGAGTGGTTCAGGAGTCGTGCTGGAAAACTTGAAGTCTAGGAGGCGACAAGCTGGTCGCGCCCCCCCCCGAGGAAGTAATTAGAGGGCGGATGGAGAAGACGAGGAAAGAAGGAGCAGGCAAAAACCCTTGCATCCCTAGGCCCGCGAGGCCTTCAGTCCAGAAGGACCCCCAGGGGGCCTTACGCGAGGTCCATTGTAGTGAGAGGGAGGGCCTGCCCGCGTTGTTAGTCTCCTGGTCATCACACCCAACTGCAAGTGTAACGTCCAGATGTCAGCATGTCGCATGTCGCATGTCCCAGTCTATGCTGTCCTTCCCAGCACCACCTCCAGTAATATACATATGTTCCAGTGTTCGTGCGCATGTAGGCGTCGCAGTAGCAGGGGAAGGGCTGAAGGGGTAGGGTTCCGCTGCAGGACAGCTGGCAAGTTTCTAGGTAGTGGTGCCCCTCTGGGGCCATCTCGTATATCGGCGGTGGACAAACCTCCCTTGAATAGACCTCCCCTTAGTGAAAACGGCCTGGGACCGAAACCGACGGACCTGGACCCGCAAAAATGACGGCCGCGACGCCCTCTCGCGAACCGAAAACGGCCAATTCCTCAGTCGACGTGTCAGGGTAGGAGGTCTGTCCACCCCCGAGTATAGTGACCTCCCTTTGTCGCTCGAGGCCGCCAGGCGTCGGAGCGACGACGGTCCTGCGGGGCCCGTGCCGATGGCACGGGCGACTCTGTTCCTCGCTGCTCGGCCCCGGTCGGCGCCCTGCCGTCTCTGGCCGAAGGAGTGGAGGCGTGGGGGCCTCCGCGGGGGGCCGCACTCGGCGTCGGCCTGCCGCGCCGACTGCTCCCCGCGGCGCCCTGGTTGGGCTGGCGCTCCACCGCCCGCTCCAGCTGCCCCCTCGGCACCACGCTCTGGCTCTGCTCGGCCCTGCACGCTGCCACCGCGATGCCCGGGGCGCGCTCGAGCTGCGGTCCCGAGAATTCCTCCCGTCAGCTTCACGAACTCCTCGGTGGCGCTCGCGTCTCCCTCTGCCATCGTCGCGGTATTGGGAGCGAGGCTGAGGCAGTGCTGGATCTTCCCCTCGGCCGTGCCCTCGTCCGAGATGTCCTCCGAGTCCGTGTAGGCCAGCGTACACGTGCACCCCAGGAAGCACTCTGCCACGACCTTCTGGCCGTTCTTCTCGTCGTTGGACGCCGTCGAGAACTGTTCGAGAATCTTGGCCGCTTCCTGATGGTGCGGCTAGTCCGCCTTCTTGTCGAGCTCCTCCTTTGCCGCCTCGACCAGCGCGAAGGCTATGTGCGGGTGAGGGGCTCCGAGTCCGTGTCCTTTTCCGCGGCTGCGAACTGTGTGGGCGTAGTCTTTTCCCGCCTCCTGGCAGGAGGAGGAGGAGGAGGAGGAGGAGGAGGAGGAGGAGGAGGAGTAGGGCGGAGGTGGAGGGGAGGGCCGTCTTGGAGCGTCGGGCAGCCGACAAGCGAGCCTGCCAAAACCACTTGAGAACCGGTGAAAAATCGATGATCCGTGCCTCTTGAAGCCCTTTTGGGAGTGCGCTTGGAGGCCTCTCCCTCATCCAGAGGCCTCCTACATGGGATCCGAGTAGATGGGGTCGGACGATCGAGCTGCATCGTCGACGTCGGCGGTGTATCAGCAACGCAGGCGTGGAGAAAATCAGGCTCCACATCGAGCCGCATCGCCGATGCATCGGCGGTGCGGCGCGATCCTCCGACCCCATCTACTCAGACCCCATCTGGAAAGCCTAGACTCGCGCAGCCGACGTCAGCGACTCGGCGCAAGCCTGCGGCCTAGGCCGCCCGGGGGCATGTCAGCATCGATCCCTTCGTGACGCCGTTCCCGAAGTTCGTGTGCCAGCTGATCGACCTTCCAGACCAACTGGCGCTCATGATGTTCAGCCGCGTCAGGCGCCGCTGGCCTATTCCCCACGATTGCTCGTGTCTCAGGAGGTGGCCCAACTGAGCTGCCCGCCAGCGCCGACTCTGGCGCCCTTTGCCGCAGGTGGTCCCATTAGAAGAGACACAGGGGGCCCCGCCCGGACCAGTCGCCCTCGCTCGAGATGCCAGAGGCTGCACTTGGGCTTCGTTCCAGGTGCCAGAGGCTTCGATCGTGGAGATGGTGGTGCCGATGGGCGTCGACTCTTTCGACGCGCCGTCCTCGCCTCCCGAAGCACGCGGAGTAGAAGTTGCTGTTCACAGTCCGTCTCGTGTTTGACAACTGCTCCCCCATGGCGAGCAGCGACCTGTCATGCTTGGCGCACGCAGTACTCGCTGGGGTATTGTCGCCGAGCGCAAGCAGTGGATTTCAGACGGTGCTCTGCAGCACGACCCGGGCTTCCTTGGAAAGATAGACACCCTGCTTGAGAAATACCGGGCCCAGGAGGACACTCTCTACTTCAAGTAAAAGTTCGGAGTGCAACCAGTGCCGTTCAGTTATTGCCTCGGCCTGAGCGGCTCAGTTATTGCCTCGGTCTGAGCGCCCTCCTGATTGAGTGCGCTTGTCTTAGGTCAGACGAACAGAGTGCCCAGACGCACACGCACACACACACACACTTACACTTTTTGCGTCGGCGGCTAGGCAGAGTGACTGCGCTGGCGAGTGGAGCAAAACGGGGCAACGGTAAGCGAATTGCGCCACCATGCAGGAGGGAGGAGGGGAGCGAGAGGAGCCGGCCCAGGAGGAAGGCCAGGAGGAGCCGGGCCCGCTCAGAGCAGCCCATGGGTGAGGCGGGGCCAGCGCCAGGGAAACAGCGGCGGCGGCGGCCAGGGGGCTGGCGGCAGCAGGGCTGATGATGCAGCCGTTGGAGTCGAATTGATCGAAGTAGCACAGTGCGAGGCCGCTCCCCAGGAGAGGCGGCCGCGGGGCCCGGGAAGAAGGCAGGGCGTGGGGGGGGTGAGCGAAGGCGGCGAGACCAGCCTGGGCTGACCTTGAAGCTGGAAGCGTGCAACAGCTTCACCGATGGCGGGCGAGCCGTTTTACCATGTGGATCTCGCCTTAGCGCCACGCACATTCGCCTGAACGGGTACAACAGCTTCACGGATGGAGGGCGGGCCGTTTTCAAGATGTGGCCATCGTCTGAGCGCCGCGCACGTTCGTCTCATAAGCTTGCGGTCCGTTCTCAAAATGTGGCTCTCGCTTCCGCGACGCGCACACTCGCGTTAAAAAGTTCGTCACGGTCGCACGGACAGAGGGCAGGTCGCCGCCGAGATGTTGTTGACGCCTTAGCGCCGCGCACATCTGTCTTCCAACAGCTTCAAGGATGAAGGGCGGTTATTTTTCCACGCGTGGCTCTCGCCTGAGGGCCGCGCAAACGTGCTTCAAATGTTTGCAACAGCTCCAAGAATTAGGATTGCCGAAGTCCCAGAAATGGTGCCCTGGCCAGATTTAGGATTGTGAGGACACATGTCATGTTGACTCGTGGTGTCGAAGTCCGAGGCCTGATGTCCTGGACCGATTTACGTTGAAAGTCCCCAGGCGGTGGTGACGCGACAGTCAAGTGGAATCGCGACGCTGAACTCCCAGCTATTGCGTTTTCGCACGATCACAGATCCTTAAACGATTCCTTTCCCAGAAGGCATTTCCCGCAACGGCAGTGCATGATTGTAAGGCCCTGTGAAGAGGGAAAACTTGGAGGAAGGGTGTGTTGCAACATGTTGACGCGCCTTGGGTCCACACTGGATATCCTCCGCCTCCGCCTCCGCCTCCGCCGCCTCCGCCTCCTCCGCCTTCTCCTCCTCCTCCTCCTCCTCCTCCTCCTCCTCCTCCTCCTCCTCTCCTCCTCCTCCTCCTCCTCCTCCTCCTCCTCCTCCCTCCTCCTCCTCCTCCTCCTCCTCCTCCTCCTCCTCCTCCTCCTCCTCTTCCACCTTCTCCTCCTTCTCCTCCTGGATATCCTCCGCCTTCTCCTCCTCCTCCTCCTCCTCCTCTTCCACCCTGCCCCCCCGCCCCCGAAGAGCTGGAGGCGCGCGGCCTGCGGGCGTCCTCCTCCACCTGCCGGTCCAGCTCGTGGAAGCTGCTGCCCATGGCGAGGAGCCTCGCCGGGCACGAGAGCCCAGGGCCGAATCGAGGAGTCGGATCGGCGATCGATCTGACTCGGATCGGCGGGGCAGCCGAGCAGGGGAAATTCGAATCGGCAGAAATCGGCAAGCTAGTAGGCCTCCAATGAGAAATCGGAGGTCAAATCGACAACCGAAGCCGAATCGAATCGGAATCGGAGGCCGTCGAAGGCGAATCGAATCGAGTCGGAGGAATTGGGGGGGGGCGGGGCGGGGGGAATCAGAATGCAGGATGCGGAGTGCAGGACGCGCTGCGGGGGGGAGGGGGGGCGCGCCCGTACCTGGGAACGCGTCGGGTTCGCCCGCCTCGTGGAAGCATCCGGGCGAAGGACCCAGCCAGGTGCAGATGGAGTAACACACAGCATGTGGGACGAAGGTGGGGTCATGAATATGTCAGGGGTCTGCCGAAATGGGCGGGGTGACGCCATGCGGGCGCCCTCCACCCATGCGCGAGGCGCTGAAGAGATGACCACATTTTGAAAGTGAGCCGCCCTCCACATGTGAAGCTGTACAACTGATGCAAACTTTCAAGACGAATGTGCGAGCGCCACATTTTGAAAACTACCCGCCCTCCCTCCGCGAAGCCCTAGCAAACTTGCAAGACGAATGCGCGAAGCGCCAAGGCGAGAGCCTGATTTTGAAAACGGCCCGCCCTACATCCGCGAAACGCATGCACACGTTTTAAAAACGAATGTGTGAGGCACTGAAGCGAGAGGCATATGTTGAAAATGAGCCGCTCTCTATCCGTGATGTTCTGGCACACTTTTAGGACGAGTATGCGCCACATGTTGAAAACGACCCGCACTCCATCCGTGAAAACCCAGCAATATTCTAAGACGAATGCGCGCGGCACTCAGGCGAGAGCCACATGTTGAGAACAGCCCGCGCTCCATCCGTGAAGCCCTTCAAACTTTAAGACGACTGTGCGAGGCGCCGAAGCAAAAACCACAGTTTGAACGACCCGCCCTCCATCCGTGTTAAATTCTGCAACGTCAAACTTCAGGGCCATAAGCGGGGAGGAAGTATCAGGCGAAACGCGCGCCCCGCCCTACCCACGCGCATCGGGGTGCGAAAGAGGGAGTTCTTGATCCGAGAAAAGAAGCTGAACATGCGACGTCCGGATGTTTTCAACACGCGTCCCCGAAAATCTCAACCCTTTCCCCGTGGCCGGCTGTTCATCCTGAGCCATTTCCTGACGGCCCCGATGCCCGGCGAGGGTCCCCTGACGCCGACAATGGCCAAAAACCTCCCGTCGTGACTTTTCACGAACTGATCATGTCTGGGAATGGAGGGGAAGGGGGGGGCGAGGGCGAGAGGAGGGGCAGTGGACGCCGCCCCCCCGACCCGCCTCCCACGCACTCGCTGAGACGACGCCAGCTCCAGGGGCAGCTCCTGGTGGCCCCGGCGGGGGGCGCGCTCGGAGGGTGCGGGGCAGCTCTGGCCCAGGTACCCCTCGCATTGTTCATTCGCCGCCCTCCTCCTCGAGTTCCTCTAGTTCCTAAAAAGTGCGGTCGGCTCTGCCAACCACACCCGCCTACTTGAAGCAGGGTCCGCCCCGAAGTCGAGGACCCGAGCCTCACACCTCGGGGCGTTGAAAACGTTTTACTAGACGCCCCCCCCCGCCCTCAGTCCCCAGGGGCCGCCGCCAAAAACCCAAGCTCGGCCCCCTCGGGCCTCGGAATAAGGTCCGAAACACGCGAGGGCGGAAACGGCAGACCCGAAAAAATGCAAGACTGAGACCCCCGACCAGACAAAAGGTGATCCGGGGTCGCCTTCCCCAGATGGACCGAATCCCTGGGCCGAGACGTCCAAGGGCGACACTGCCTGGCCAGGAGGTGGGTCTGCCGTCAGGCGCACGCCCCGCTCAGCTTACAGACGACGGTCGACTCGCCCCTCCCAAGGGCCCGACCGCCTCCCCCCCCGCGCCCCACGCCCGCCCCGAGTAACCCACAGCCTATGAGAGGGATAGGCGATCGCCGCGGGCCTATGTACTCCTGGACACGGGTGGCGAACAATCCTCGATCGGAGCCCGTTGCTGGCCCCGCACCTGCTGCAGCCCCAAGCCCCCCCGAGACACCCCGAGGCGCGCCCATTGGGGCCCGACACCTGGGCGAGCACCTGGGGCGCGCAGGGCAGGGGGGGGGGGAGCCGACCGACCGGGCAACCCCGCGCCAACGGCCTTTCTGTCAACACCGCGCCGCGGTGGCGCAACAGCTGCGTCGCGGCGACCGCCGCCGAGCTCACGCGCCTGGCGAGCTCGCCGACCTCCTCGAAGTCGGCGCGCAGCCGGGCCCTCATCTTGGCCCTCTCATCGGCCTCGCGGTCGCCGATGCGCCAGTGGGCCATCGTGCCCGCGCGCCCCGCTGCGGCCCAGCTGGCGCGGGCTCTCTCTCTCTCTCTTTCTCTCTCTCTCTCTCTCTCTCTCTCTCTCTCTCTCTCTCTCTATCTATCTCTACTCTCTCTCTCTCTCTCTCTCTCTCTCGTCCAACGAAGCTGAGAGCGCTCGCCCATGTCGCGAACACGGACCAGACCTCGCTCCAGAGCTGCGCGCACTTGCATTCGAGGCCCCTGCACCAGCCTGGCCCCTTCCGGAAATCATCCACCACATTCCTGCAGTCCGTGACCACGCAGAGCTCGCCCAGGGCCGCTTCGCGCAGCACTCAGGCCACGGCGGAGAGCTCAGCGAAGCCAATCTCCTGCACGACCACAGGGGCGGCGCTCGCCAGGCCGCCAACGATGCCCCCACCCTCAGCGACCACGATGCCTGCCCAGCCCGCCCTCGTGACCTCGACGAACTGCGGGAAGAGCGCGGAGCCGTCGATGCAGACCGCGCCCGAGAATCTCCATGCCGAAGGACGCCCACTCGAAGACACAGCTCGTTCTCAGCGGGGACGGGCGCCGCCGAGCGGGACGAGGCACCTCGCGAAGCCCAGGCCCGCGATGTCCGCTGCAGCTCCCGCCTCACGCACGTCTTCCAGGCCCGTGCCCCATCGCCACCATCGCCGCGCCATCGCGCGCGAAGAGCCCGCGGCGGCGAGAGCCCAGGCCACCGCCGCACCATTGGCAGTCGGCCGAGGCGGCGGCTCGCTCCGCGCACAGGTCGGCATGGGAGACAAGCCCGTCGCACACCAAACTTTCGACCAACGCGACCTGCTCCGCGCCGCCCTGCGCCCTCGGCACATCTAGCGCCGCCCGCGCAGGGTGCGTCGCGGGCGGCCCTGACAGCCGCCCGTGGGAGCGCGCGGGCACTGTGCGTAGAAGGGATATTTGCACTCCCTCCCCAGTCGACCAGCGTTCTGACCATGTTCGCGCCGTGGGACTTCAGGTCGATCGACTCGCCCCTGTCAATGACCCCCGCGCCCCACGACTCCGCGGCCCACCCGATGCGGACTAGGCTGAGACGCACAGCCGCAGGCCCCGTGCTCTGACCCGAGCGGGCTGGCCGCGCAGCCTCGGACACCGCGTGCATGCTGGCATCAGACCTGAGCTGGGCGAAGGCCGCCTTGGCCCACGCCGCCAGCGACAGGCAGTTCGCCGCGTCGGCGGGGTCTTGGCGCCAGCCAGGCCCAGGCTGGATGGCGAACTGTAGCGCCCTGCGCCTCTTGCCACACCCGCCTGCCACCGCCTTGACGTTGATGGCCCTGGCCTGGTCGAGTACCTTGGACGTAACTCCTTTGGCGCGGGCGCCGTGGGGCATGGCGGCGAGTCCGCTGCACCTGAAGACAGCCCCAAGCTTGGCCCCCGCTCGCCTCAGCTGCATGCACGGAGACGCCTTCGCCGCCAGGCGCCCCCAGCCCGGCTCGAATCACCCCCCGCGAGGCGTCGCCGCCGAGCGCAAATCGATCCCCGGGTCCTTGGCCGCACGGCGCAACCTGAAATCCCACTTTCTGAGGCGGTGGCCCGTCTTCTCGCCAGCCTCAGCGTCGCTGGGCACGACCTTTGGCGACCGAGATGATGAAGCCGCCCTCCCCCAGCCCATGGCAGAGCCACCTGGTCGCGCCGAAGATGCCGAACTCCACATCCCTCAGACGACCGTGGACCGCCAAGGTGACGTCGTCCACGACCAGGTGGGCACGGACGTTCAGCCAGCTCTGCATGAGGAAGTCCATGGCTGAGGGGGGCACGACCTTCAGCGGGCTCGCGGCGAAGGCACAGCCCGCGACGATGGGGGCCCCCAGCGAGAAGGCCTCGGCCAACCACGTGCCCAGACAGAGTCTGCGTCGCCCGCCATCCGAGCGGAAGATGAGCTTCAAGCGCCGCACGCGAAACCCGTGCCCCCGAGCTGCCGCCGCTAACCTTTCATGGCGCGCCCGCTCGCACACCCTGGGCAGGTCCAACATCGACGCCATCGAGAGCTGCCCCATCGCTGCCGCCATGTCGGCGTCGAGCACCTGGAGCCAGACCGCGCCCTCACATGACCTGTCCTCGCCGCCGTAGAAGATGCCCCTGGGGCGCAGCCCCCAGCCCTGGACTTCGCATCGACGCATCCCCCCCGGCAGGCGGGCCAGGCTGCGGAGGAGCCCCATGGGGCGACAGCCCCCCTCCGCGTTCGCCAGAAAAATGCACGCCCTGTCGAGCTGCCCCGGCACCCGGCGCGTCGCCCCCATCACCTGCAGCAGCAGCCCCAACGCGACGAGGCCGTCGTCGCTCAGGTGGCCGAAGGACTGAGGCTAGATGCAGTCGACCCCCGTGGCCGTGGACCGCTCGAGGGCAGCTACCGCCTTCCTGTCGGGGAGCGACTGGTCGAGGTCCAGCGGCAGCACCTCGCCGTAGCGCCAGACCCCCTGGTACTCGTCCTTCAGCGCGTCGAGCGCGGCAGCGATTCCCGCTGGCCCCTTCGCCCCGTCGAGGTCAGGCGCCCTGGCCAGCGGCGCCTTGCAGCGGCGACGCGCAGCCCTTGCGCCGTCCTGCACCGCCTCACTCGCGCCACAGCTGACGCCGCTTCTCGCCGAAGCGGCCCCCGAATTTCGCCGCGAGCCCACGAGCCTCCTGCTGGAGTGCCTCCAGCTGGCTGTAGCTGAGATGGCTGAGCTCATGGAGATGGCACCCCCACTTCCGAACCTCCTCCTCTGACATCAGGTCGCCCCAAGTCCCCTGCCGCCAGCGGGCCCGCCGTGGCACGCAGGGCCTTCAGCTGCTCCAGCGCCTCGGGGGTCGCCGCCATCGCGCGCGGTCTTCGGCGGCGGGCTAGCGTCTCCCAGATGACGGCAGCATTGCGTCGCCACCGAGCAGGCGCTGGGCAGCCCCTTGGGTGAGGCCTTCCCCCAGTCAGCAGCGCGTCCTTCTCCGCGCGCCGTGGCTCGGTCTCGCGCCCGACGCACAGGTGAGAGCCCACTGGCGCCGCGCGGTGCAGCCCGAGCAGGTCGGCCCCCAGCAGCCTGGCAAGCTGCAAGTCGGCCCGAGCAGGTCGGCCCGAGCAGGTCGGCCCAGCAGATCAGCAGGTCAGCAGGTCGAGCCTCGACAGCGGCGGCCCTTGCCGTCGTCGAGGCTCGCGGCGGCGCGGGCAGGGGGTTGCGACGCTGCAGGGTTGAATCCTGCCCCCCTTCCCCCGACGGGCGCTGGGCCGGCAGCTCGGGCCCGAGGCTGGGCCCCGCGACCGAGCCCAGACCCCTACCGCCACCAGCCTTGCCGCCTCCTCCTGCGTTGCCTGCCCGCTGCTGCCACGGCGCCGCGTTCGCGCCGTCGATCGCGCCCGCCCTCCTGGAGCCGTCGCGCGGCCGCCCCTGGCTTGGGGGGCGGGGAGGCGGGGGGCTCCCAGAGCTGCCCCCATCACCGCCCGGGCCAACGCGCCGCCCCTCCGGCCACCTGCGGCCCCGCCCACGCTGCCCCTCAAGCAGCGGCGCGCTTTCGCGGCCGATCGCCGACAGCGGCCCGAAGGCCCGCGGCAAAGCCGACGGCGGCCCGAGGGCCTGCGGCGCTCGAAGGGCCCACGGGCACCACGGGCGGCCGCCTGTCCTCCAGCGGCGGCCCCACCAACGCCTTCTTCCGTGATCGAGGCTGGCCTGCCCCACTCGCCGTTTACCCCTCGGTTGCACGTGGGGGCAGGCTCCAGCAGAACATCCGGCGACTGAGCCCAGCCCCTCTCGCTGTTTACCTCGAGGGTGCTCCTGGGGGCTGGGGCTCGCGTTCTTGCGCCTGCGCCATCCCGCTGCGCGTCGGAGGGGCCGCGGCGAGAGCCGCTTTGGGATCGGCTTTTCGGGCGAGGTTGGGCCGATCTCCCGCGCGGCTCGACCCGCGGCGCCCACGCCTCCACCATGCTCAGCAGCGTCCGCCCTCGTCCACCGCGAGGTCGCAAACGACGGGGCCCTCGGCCGCGTCGCCGCGCAGGCCGCGGGCGACCTCCGCCGGGCTCGCGCCGAGGTTCTCTCGCAGACGCCTCAGCGAAGCCGCGT